AAATTTATTATATCACATGATATTATAATTATAATTATAATTATAATTCCACAATGGCATAGGTAATTACTTTAGCTAAATGTTGTGTATAGTTAGATGTCTTATGTGTTTTTTAAGTTATTAATTGAGTACTTTTTATACGCAGTTGGTATTTGTGGTCTAATAACTAGTACTATTGAAAAAGTGTATATCCCCCTCTTCTGAGCGGATTTCGAACCCATCCTATGACAAAAAAATTCAAAAAAAAAAATTGAGTACTTTTTATACTTTAAATAAATATCACTCATTTCTCTTAATTTTAAATATAATTATTTATCATTTCTGAAAATAGTATCTAATATATTTATATATTTTTAAAAATAATTATAACACATTAAATTAAAATTTTACTTTTGTGATAATTAATTAAAAATAAATATAGTATAAAATTTTTTTAATTGATGATTATAATTTTATTTTATTTTATTAAAAAATTAAACCTACTCTTTTACCAAGAAAAAAAAAAATAAAACCTATTTAAATTTAACGAAGGACAAGGAGTAATGAAGTTTTTTACTTTTCCGATGAAAAAGAAAAAAAAAAGGTACCAGTTGGATTGGGATGCAAATGTCTAGAATTATGTAGCGGACTTTTTGAGGTTGAAGCAGTACTGCTTACTACCCCAAAGCAAACATTATAGGATGGTGTGGGGCTAACCATCATTGGCTTGCGTGGAAATTGTCAACTGTTTGACACGTGGATCTTGTCTGCATCCAACACTTGGATGCCATTAACATCGAAATTGTCGATCTTTTTTTTTAAAAAAAAAATTGCAAGGTTGCTTTGATTTGAGTTACTTTATCCATTTGATTTTTTCCTCTTTTTTTTTTCCCTTCTTTAAATCGTTGATTGCATTGCAGTGGTATAGTTAAAATATTACTTAAAATTATAATTTTATAAGTATAATGTATTATTAAATAAATATAATATAATATAATATAAATAAATAAAATTAATTATATAATTATATAATTATTATAAATTTATTATAAATTTATTATATCACATGATATTATAATTATAATTTAATAAAATTAATTAAAATATTTAAAAACTTTAATATTTTTTTATTTGAAACCAAATAATAACTAACAATTATATTGGCTTATCTTAAATTATTAAATAATAAATAACAATTATTTTATTAATTATTAGGTATCAATTCTAGTGGTGAAATTAAAAAAAATTTAGAGGGAGCAAAATGAAAGATCGGTAACAAATATTAAAATTATATAATAAATAAAAGTATAAAGATAAAAATAATAATTAATGGATTATTTAAAAGTTTAGGGAAGTCTGAGACCCCAATGCTAACAATATAGAGCCTTTGTATCCTTAATCATGGCCAAGGTCATGGGATTAAAAAAAAAAGAAAAAAGAGAACAACTACAAATTTGAAGAATATATAGAGGATTTAAACCCAACACACAGGTTGGAGCGTACCTTCATGTTTTAGTCAATTGGCCAGAGAGCCAGTTGGGACAAACATAAACATCAGGGGAATTTGAAAAAATGAATGATCCCAACAATAATCAATTTATTGTGATAGATGGTTTGTCTAATTTTTATTTTTAAAGTGCAAATTAAAGAGGTAATTAATAAATATATTTTTTACAATTAATTTATATAAAAAAATAATAATAATTAATTTTTAATTAATTATTACATTCTTAATTTATACATACAAAATAAAAAAAAAATTCATTTGAAAAATATATAAGAGGACAATTTCTAAAAAGAAAGTAAAACATTTCACCAAAAAATAAAAAATCTATAGATCGTATACAATCCTATCTAATGGCCCTTCTTCGTTGTTCATTTTCATGGAAAGGAGAACAGGGAATCAAAAAAACCAACATTCTCACATCCAAACAAGAAAAACAAAACAAAAAACAAAAACCTTACATGCATAAACAAGCTGCCAAAACAAGACCCAATAAGACGGTCCATCTATAGGATTCAAATCTCAAATTACCAACGGCTTCGTTTGCTGAAGTATCAGACTCTAACAAAGAATTCATTGTAAAATTAGGGTTTGATCCATACAGAGCTTGCACTCCTTCAATATCATCAACTGCTAAATCCACTTTCTTTTCTCTAGGTTTCAAGCTAGGGTACATCACTGCTTCCTTCACCGGAGAATGCGCCAACCCTAACAAGTGCCCGATCTCATGCACTGCCACCGATTCCAAATCAATTGCTACCTTCGATTTCTCCACGTCGAAATCTACAGCCCACGTCTCCGCCGCATCCAGGTGAAGCCTCCCTATCTCTGGGGAAAACGAGTGTGCCAGAATACCCAACACCCCATCGAACGGCTCGCCGTCGCCATGGTCCCCTCTGTAAAACCCTATCTTGATATCCGCAAAGCCGTAATCATGGGTTTCTATAAAGTTCAATGGAATGACAGATGCCCATCTGGCAAAAGCACGCTTGAACGTCTTCCTTATATCCTGCAAAGTTAAGTAATGGATCATGTGATCCGGAGAGAAGGCATACGATAGTGTTGCCGGCAAGTGGCGCACCCATCGTGGTTTCCCCCGGAAGTAAACGAAGTTTTTTGTTGCATGGAGAGAATGGGCGCTGCTCCTCCGGAAATTGTGGAACCTGTTGATGTTTTGCCACTTTTTGTCGTGGGAGTTATTGACCGTTATTCTGGTTAGTTGCCTCACGGAAGATTCTGGTGCTGGCATTGCCGCCAGGCATGGTGGTGGAAGGTGGCGGCCGAGAAAGATAATGAGGAGAAGAGATAGATGGCAGGGGGTTGATAGAGGCATGAGAGAGGGATGCGGTGAATTGTGCCTGATATTGATATTTCATCAGGTGTGATATGAATGATATCTTTAATATAAAGAAATAATCTTACCAAACATTCACTAATTATAAAATCTTAACATTGATTCAAGATTAAACATTCAAATCTTAATCGGCATAAGAAACTTTAAGTTGTAACCTTGAAATTAAGTGAAATAATTGGTAGTTTGGAAGAATCTTTCACGTAGCTAGGTTGCATGATTAATATTTGAATGCAAGATTCCAATAATTTTTTTAGAGCTAACAACTGCTTGGATCACGAATTGCTAATTAATCATGGAATGTTTCTACCAACTAGCTAGGTTATATATGTTGATGAAGTTATTGACTCAGTAAGATAGGATGGTGGAGGCGGGCCCAAAGGTAGGGTGAAGGGTGAGGAGGCATGTCAAGTGTAACGAACTTTGCAGTAGTTGATGGATTGTTTTCTTTAGAAGGTGAGCAAAGACTAAAAGTTTGAAGCAATTGCTATGTAGTCGTTGGGATTTCATCATTGCTGCTCTTGTTTTCACTCTCATTATTTTTTTGACGTGAGAACGACTCAAAAAATTTGATTATCTCAGTATCTTTTGGACGTGTGAATGACTCAATCATCAAATCATTGTTTTATGCATTTTTTAATTTGATACGTACTACAAGGTCTGCAATATTACTCAATATTCTAAATTATAATAAAAATAATAATTTTTTTTGTTAATAACAAATAAAATTAAATTACAAAATATCAAGAAAATCTACCAACAACTTGTTGGTTTTGAGTGGAATGAACTCAATTCTCTTTAAATAAGATTTCGAATTTGAGTTTTGTGATTGGAAAAATAAGAATTGGGAGAGTTTCTTCTTAATGAGGTTTCTTCTTAATGAGGTTTGACGTGATTTAATTTTAAATTAATCAGATCCAGTGTGGTTACCGGATACCGAAAAGTTAATAAAAAAACAAAATATCAAGAAAATCTGAATAATTTCCAAAAATTTTAAAAAATAGATGAGAAAATCTAAATAGAATCTTACGCCCGCCTTGGGGTACGTTGTGGGTACTTCACTATAGGTGCAAAAGAAAAAATTCTCCTATAAATTTCCTTTAAAAATCTTGGGCTAAGAGATGAACCCAATCCATCCAAAGAAATTAAGCCCATGAAATTTTGACAACTTCCTCAAATTTGGGCCTCTTGGTATTGTCTATATGGTATTGATTGGTACATCATGGCACCCAATGACCCATACACATCCCTTGAATGAATTTTCAATTCAAAATCCATGGTGGTCCCATCCAATTCAACAATTGACTTCATTCGATAAAATAGTATGTGAAATGCTCGGTAATCATGTGAAACATAACTTTCATGTATAGTCACCTAAAAATTGCCAACTACAGAAAATAATTGAGCGCTTTATCTTTTGGTGTGTGATTGGACCCATTTTGCTGATTGCTTGGATCAGTTTGTGTACAATATATATGTGATTGACACAATAACTCCTTTTTAAGTAGGGAGATATTGGACCCATGATCACGACGCCACGAAACTCTTTTTTCTTTTTTGCGCATCTAAACCTTGAATCCCACGTTACATACATAAAAGGGGTGAGGAGAACTTTGATAATCAACCCGATCAAGTCTTGGGGGGTTAACAAACTCTTACGGTATCTATAGCGTAATCATAAAACAGAGAAAAATTAGAAGGAAAATGGGCACCCTTTCTTTGCAACAACAGCTTGACGCTGCAGCCGTATTATCATACTCAAAATGGGCACTGCGGTTCAAAATAAGAGTACCGTGATGAGGATGGAAAGTTTTAAAGATCACCAGTAAGAAGACATAGGGTTTGTAACATAACAATTAAATTCAATAATAACATTCTAGAACTGAAAATTAATGGCAAAGGTAATTAGGACTATCTTTAATAGTCCAAAGTTTTGCAACTAATGCAGTAGTATTGTCAATATTTCTAAGGAGGATTGTTATGGCCATCATGAAGATGGTTAAGATCATTAATATTTAATTTTTTTTTGTTAAATTATTTTTTAATATCTTTTTAACTTTGTTTTCATATTTTTTATTTTTTTAAATAAATAAAAATATAATTTTATAAAATAAAAAAATTAAATATTAATAGTTTTAACAATCTCTCATGCAACCTGAGCGCTTTCTAACAAAACCGACAATCCAATGATCTTGCAAATCTTGAAACGGACCCCAATATGTCTGCAGCAACTTACCTCCACGATTAACATGTGGATGTCTATAAATTGTGTGGTTTGTAAACTTTCGTTGGATTAATGGGCCCTAAAATTTAAATACTTGTACTATCAACAGCAACAATAAACATAATCTCAACGAAAGACAATTATTTTTTCTCTCTCAATCAAATCATGTGAGCATTCTTAGATTTGAAGATCAAGAATTACTTTTATTTTCTCTCTATTATTGTTCTTTCTCCATAAAAATTGAAGTCCATCTTCAATTGTTACACCTTTCTTCAGTTTCATTGATATTACTGGGGCTTAAAGTATATAGAGTTCATTTCTTTGGGATTCAAAACTCAAAAAATAATTAATGGAAAATGTACCCCCTTACTTTAGGTTTAAGCTGGTCCCCATATTACCCAAAATATGTATGCAAAAATTGTATGCATTGTTAAATGGTCCCCCTTGGATTCAATTGGAGCCCTTTTTTCCCTTCTCCTTTGTGTTTCATTAAAAGGAACAATATCAAAGGTTCATGTGCTTAAAAAAATGTGCTTCACTAGCCCAAGTCTATTCTAAGATAGGGGACAGGTGTCAAACACCCACGTCGATAGTGCAAAGAGGAAAGCTTCTTCCTTTCTCTCTCCAGCTGTGCAGGAACTCATCTGCTGTAAAAATTTTTGCTTCCCAACGTACGATCATTGATGTCATGTCCCCCACCTGGCAATCTGCGTGCCAACCAATGATGCCCTGGAATACAGTGGGCGTATACGTGGCTGGACCTCGATATAGCCTCATTTATTGTTTTGGGTCCCATAACATTGGATTCCCATGATAGTCTTCCATCCACATGGAAAATGTTTCTTACAATTATTTCATACCCAGTAACAATTTTTTTTTCAACATTAATATATATATATATATAACTTTTTTTTGCCATTCATACTGGCAACAGTGAATTACATTAAAATGAACGTACTTGAATTAATTTCATGCTTGAAATTTAAACAAAATTAAAAATCTTTCAAAAAATATATATTAAATTTAAGTTCATGAAATTGAAATGAAAACTGTTTATTCACACCAAACATTAGAAAAATAAATAAATATATATATATATAGAACAGAGGCTAGAAAATGTATACTTCTTATTTTAGAGGTCTGCACGTTAGCCTCCAGTTGAAGGTATACAAAAATAATATGTGTATATTTAATTTAATTGTTAAAAAAATTACTAATGATTAATGAATGAATCGTTTCGTTTGTGATATTGAATTTTGAATTAGTATTGTTTATTTTATATGAGTGATGTATTTAAATTTTATAAAATTTATTTTTTTATATATATATACTTATAAATAATATTAAAATTATTCCAAAAAATTACTAATGATTAATAAAATAATTAATTATTTTAATATGATATAAATAAATTTAAAATAATAATTAGTGATTAATACTTTTTTGTTTTATCTCTAAAAAATTAAGAGAAAAAAATAAAAATTACCTTAAAATATATTTTAAAAATAAAGTAATTTAATTTTTTTAATAAAAAATTATTGAAAGGATATAATTTTAAGATAATTTTTTTCTTAATTTTTAAAAAGTAAGATTTATAGGTATTTTTTCCTAATAATTAATATATTTTTAATATATTTTGTGTTCGCAAAAAAAACAGTGGCCACCTCACAAACGCCCTGACTGACGAGGAGCTCTAATCAAATCAAATCAAATCAAATCACTCCGCCAATTCAAAGATCGATCCACGTGGATTCCTTCCCTTCACTCTTCCCACGTATCAACTCTCACGTATATCATCTGCCAACCTCTGCAGCCTTTCTCTCTTTTTTTTACCTGCAACACTCATAAAACCCTATTGAAGCAGGAGAGTAATTTTCCCCCTTTTTTTTCCTCTTTTGTACAGACAAATTGCAACCACCGAACGCTTCCAGTTCCCCCAGCCCACCCAAAACAGGCAAACGTTGCAACATGGAAAATGGCATTGCCAGGGATATTTTCAATGCTTACAGAGGTCAAAGTTGTAATAACACGACCTTCGCCTGGGAAACAGAAGAGCTTCATCCGTCCAGATTCTGTTGGGGTAACAACAATAATAGCTTGGAATCGTACCAGTACGCCACTACTACCGCGCCCGTAACCGCCAGGGTGGAGACTGATGAGTTCGCCACGCACACACATGGAAGTGCGTCCCACGCGCTGGTGTTCCCTCACCATCAGGGAAACGGTACTACCACCAGCACCACCACCGACAGCCAGTACTCTCTACACCACCGCAATAGGTCCCACTTGCATCCGGACCCGCATCTCGTGTGCTTGAGGCTTGGGAAGCGGCACTACTTCGAGGACTCTACGTCTATCGGCGGCAATGGCTTTTCGATTGGGAAGAGATCAGATGAAGTACCCTATTATGACTTTGGTGCCGATGGGGTGCGGCCATCCTCGTCGAGGTCGGCGGCCGTGCCTCAGTGTCAGGTGGAAGGGTGCCAGGTTGCGCTCGTGAACGTCAAGGAATATCACAGGAGGCATAAAGTGTGCGAGAAGCATTCCAAAGCTCCCAAGGTTGTGGTCTTGGGGTTAGAGCAACGCTTCTGTCAACAATGCAGCAGGTAGTATATATATAAATACCATCCATCAAATTCCACATTCTGTACCATTACAAAATTTCCCAATATTGCGTACACGTAATTACTACGTACTGCTAGATGCTACTGTAAAAAATAGAATAAAATTTGATAAAATGAATGGACATACATGTATAGGTTTCATTTGGTGTCAGAGTTTGATGACTCCAAGAGGAGTTGCAGGAAGAGATTGGCAGGGCACAACCAGCGAAGAAGAAAGACTTCTCATGACTCTATCTCAAGAACCTCTTCTCAAGAAGGTATATATGTATCAGTACGGCAATGTTTTTTAAATAATTCCTAGTGCATTGTTATATATCCACTGTGAGATATTTTGATCATAGATCTGCGTGTAACGTTATTTCGATTTTTGTTTTGACCCATTGTCTCACCAATGATTCACGTACATTTTTATTTTATTTTTTTTACAATAAAATCTTTTTATGTAAATACCATTCTTCAATGGGAGCAGGGTAGTGAGAGATTAATTTTCTATATATTAATTGCAGAACTGCTAGGTGTATTCTATTCTCTGCTATTAGTTATGAAAATTTCCTGGTGGAAGACCTTTAGCTGTTTTTTAATTATGATTGATGGAAAGTAGTTATATAGGTTGATGTTGTTAACAAATTAATGCTGAACATTACATTATTGTGTATTGATCTCCACAGGTGATGGGAATAGGATGACCGAGAGATTTCAGTACTTGTCATCGCCGTCGACAGGGTGTGCTCACTCTCTTCTGTCATCTGGTGCTGATTCTTGGGTTTCCCCATCTGATCTCTCCTCAAGATCTAGTGCTGCTTTGCGTGAGCTGATTGAAGAAAATCGGGCTTCTGTCCTAGCTCGCCAGCTAGTTCTTGACCCTGATTGGCAGTTGCATTTGCACCAACACTCAGTGGAGGACCTGGGAGAGGCTCAAACCAGCCCCAGTTTTGTCACAGAAGAGCAGCACCATCATCAATTGCCTGAACCTCATGGTTGGGAGAGGTTTTCAGCAACTGGGTCGAATGTAACATTGGATCTGATGCAGGCTTCAAGCTCAGCAGTCAGTATGTATTCTGTGAGGGGGGAAAAGCAAGGAATTGAAGAGGAGGAATAATAAATTATAATGCTTTCTGATTTGTACCATTCCATGGAGGGAGCTCATGTTATTTGAATTTATTGCAATAATTCGTAATCCTACAATCTAGTGTGCTAGCTACTAGGATTTGGTCCGATGATTTATTGTCGGACAGTATAATTCCATCACAAGGGAAATTCAGAAGAATTGCCATTGCTTTTTCTCTGTATCATATTTTCATTTGAACATATGATAATTTAATTTCTACAAATTTTGATTCATATAAGGGAAATTTTAATTTTAATTTTTTTTTACTTTTGTTGAATGAAAAATTGTTGAGTGAATTTTGTAAAAGTAAAAATCTCAAACAAGTAAGCCCTTCAAAATTTTATGTACATCAAAGAAAGAATATAAACCAAGACAGAAAAATTGCATCATTCCCAAAGTGATAAGTGTGGATTCTTAGGAATCAGATGATGTAAGAATATAATCCCCGTTTCAATTTGAATTTATATTTTTTTATTTTAAAAATTATATTAAATTTTAATTAATTTAAAATTAAGTTATCTAAGTTTTTATTAATATTTATTTTTTTATTTATAAAATTTAAATTTAATATTTTATTTAAAAAATTAAATTTTTTATATTCAAACTAACATTTCATTAATTTAATTTTAATTTACATAAGTATATAGTAATATTAATAATTGTAAATTAGAAAAAGAGAATAAGAAACAGAGCAACAAAACAAAACACAACAACAAACTGTTTTGTCAAAAAGTCCCCACAGACAGGGGACAGAGACAGACTCTTTACCAAAAATCACGTGCAGGCACGTGATTCTGCAGCTCCGTGTCATTCTCAAACCGCCCGAAGGCCCCACATTGGTGGTGAGTCTCCACGTGCAAGCTTTGAAAAGTATTAGTCCAATTGAGAGAGTGAGCACTTAAAAACTTACTTTAGTTTGATTCCTATTCATCAGATTTATGTGGGCTCCCCCCCACACAAAGCCTTTAAAGCAGGAAAAAGTTTGTGTCGTGGGTCCTACCAAGTTGGGGGTTTGGGGAGCTAAGAGAATTGCTGCTCTCTTTCAATGAAGCAAATTGTGAAAGGCTCCTTTCATTCCCAAATCCCCAAGGTGAAAGAGGTTGGATTTTTTTATTATTAAAAAAATATTATATAGTTTAAATAATGTTAAATTATATTATTTTA